GATGCATACTTATTCTTTCACATTGGAGTGGTATCTTCAAGGTAATTATCACCTGAATGTCTCTGAAGTTGTGGGCTAGTTTTTCTAAAGAGATTATAGAGAGTTGTCTTAAATGTTTTATCTAACAGAAGGCTTACTATAGGATCTAAACTACTTTTTGCAACAGCAAGACAAGTAAGGAAATTTTTTGTTTCTATTAATGAGTTCAACCTCTGGCAGTCTTCTGAACTATGCAGTAGATAGAAAACTGGCCTAAAAATATGGTATGGAAGAAAACAGACAGCTAATATAATCTGGATGATCAAAATGTTTCTTTTGACTGTCCTGTGAATTAGATGCTTCTTTTCAATGCAAGTATTTTTTTGTATCTTACTCAGATGATTGACAAGGGAATAGTATAATAACAACACTGCTATAAATAATAAAAAAAAACATGTGGTAGCAATGAGAACTACAGTCTGTGTAGTACCTTCTCCATATTCCACAATCATGTTATAGCATATATCTTCTTGATCTGTTCCTGAGTTGGAAATATACACTATAACTGGTATAGTTACACATAATGCAGTAAGCCATATGCTGATGCACAAGTGCTTGGCAAATTTTGGCTGACGAAACTTTTTCAGTGTTTGCCAATAAAAGGTGCTTTCATTAATGGGCTGTGAATACTGTGTGTGGTCATTATGTTTCATCAGAGTTGCATACTGATTTACGGCTGTCCAACATAAACTTGTAATGCTGACATACATGCTGACATGTATAACCAGAGTTCCAAAATCACTTGCTATTATACATAGTCCAGATTTATACTTCCACTGATATCCTCTTGCAAAATAGGCAGCCATAAAAGGCATAATACTGCACATAAGTAAATTTGCAGTGATGAGATTTATCAAGTAGATGTGCTGTGTTCTTTTTGGAGATGCATACCTCGAAAACACCCATGCAGAGAAAATGTTTGCAAAGCTGCCTGAAGTAAATAGGAAAGAGTAGATGATTGGCAGAGCTACTAAAGAAGCAGATGATGGTTGAAGACGACATGTTGAGTTGTTCATTAATGCCAGCTTTTCTTGAATAAATGCCCACTGAGCTGAAACAAAATTGCAGAAATTATTTCCCTATAATCTCTATTTAATGTGTTTCTTATTTACTGCAGTTAGAATGTTCTTAATGATTCCTTCTCCTCTTTTAAATACTTATTAACCCTCTGTAAGCCTCCTTGAAATTATCATCTCAACTTGCACATTTTGTTATGGTTTCTTTTAAACTTGGCAACTTTGGTATCCAGATCAAGTAGTACTAGCAAACTAATGAAAAACTAATAGTCCAAAATTTTAGGTGCATGGATCCTGAGTTTGGTAACATAAATCACGAAAACTCAGGAAACCTGGATTTTGATCCAGATTTTGACAGAAATTTCTGTGATCTTGATCTAGGACAGTGATTCTCAGACAGGGTTCTATGGGACTCAGGGGTGCCTTTAGATCCTTTCAGGGATGTCATAGGGTGCCACATAATGTTAACACTGTTCGGTGTGCAAACAGGATTCAGAAGAAAGACCCAGGGATCCATCCTGACCTCTTGTGATGTTTTCTGAGTTCTTTACAAAAAATGAATTGCTCTATTATATTCTGTAGTCAAAAAAGGAGTGAAAACTAAGAGCTGGTATTTTCTCAGGGCTGCCTCAAGTCTATCATAGGGTATGCAGTGTTCAAGAAGTTTGAGCCACTGATCTAGCACCTCAATATTCTCAGTAATAAAGTGCTTCCAGGGCATCTTGATATTGTCTAATCAAAAATACTAAAGCGAACACATAATTGCCACGTAGCACTTGTCTCCACACAAGTACCATATTTATCTGAATCCAAGACAATTCTGAATTTCATACAAGCTCCCAATAATTAAATTCTATACATGGAAAATGTATAAATCTTACAATTTTCAAAGTATAGAATCTAATTTTGGGAGCGTTATCTCAAATTTGTAT